CAAATCAGTGACAAACGCATAAATTATTCGCTGATTTGTAATGTCGTCAGATGACGTAATACAGTATACGTAATGTGGTTATCATACCACCCTAATTAACAGAAAGCAAAGAAAAGCCGCAATGTTGATTTATTTATTTATTTTATTTATTTATTAACACAAACATCCCCCGGCGGGGATGAACAGGGTTACAAATCAAATATTAGTAAAAGAAAGAAAAAAATCACTACAAAAAAGTAAGGGAACAAAAAAGCATTAAAAAAGAAAGAAAGATAAATTTGTATACGAGGAATGTGTTACTGGCTTACTAAATTTGTCAAGATTTGGTATACATTTATTAGCTACAATGTAAAGTTTTGATCTTATTTCGTTGTAATGAGGACAATTTGTGACAAAATGTTGTTCATCTTCAACATGGTCATTGTCGCACATATTGCAGACTCTGTCTTTAAAATCCAAACCTATATGCCGGCCTGTTTCAATTTTCAGACAGTGGTTGCCAAGTCAAAATTTTGTTTAAGGATTTGCGAAGTTCATTGTTTTTCATAATTGTTAAGTAGTTTTCTTGTTCAATTTTGGTTTTACAAAGTTTGTAGGTTCTTAGTTTATTTTTAGAATTTGATTTTTTCTTATTGTCATTATTTATTTCATTTTTCCACTCAGTTGTAAACTCTTCTTTTAATTTCTCATCAATTGTTTTTAGTTTTGATAATGAGATAATATTTGTTTTATTTAAAAGATAAGAATGGTTTATATTTTTTAATATCAAATCAAGTCTTTTAAACCATTTACTTTTAATAATTTTATTGACATACACTCTAAAGTCATGTGTTCAGTGTCAGAACACATATTAGAACACTTAATTGTAACACTTTTTGAACGCAGTGTATGTGTTCAGTAAGAAAAGTAGAACGCATGTGTTCAGATTTAGAACATATAGTGTCTTTATTTTTGAACGCATAACATATGTTTAAAAACATAAAAATAGAACACTGTTGATACATCTGCACACTGTAACACTTTTTG